TTAAGTAATAATTTATATAGAGATTTATTACAGGTGACATTTTAAGCCTAAATAATTTTTTTAATATCTAAACATATTTTAAGAAGAATTAAGTAAAATTATATATTGTTTATGACTTAAGTAATGTAAATGTTTAGTAAATAACAGTGAATTTTTTTTTTTTTTTTTGTGAATTATTCACATAATAAAAATTATATTGTAACTTATGTTATTTGTTATACATAATGGTACAGATATAACTGACAAATCCTATAAATATTGATATAATTAACATTTCGTTATAATTATACGCATTCTTAAACTACGTTAAAATAACATAAAATATTTTATTTATTTGTTTTTAATAATAAAAATAATTGGAACTTGAAATTTATTTTAAATTTTAAAATTGGTATTTTTGAACACTATTATTACAAAAAATGAACGAACCGATAATAATTTTATAGCATGCAATTATTGAGCTACAAGTATTTCAACGCATAGTTTAGGGGAGGTATACAGCGCGGGTGGATACAGCTTGTACTGTTGTATATTTATGACTCACACCGGTGTACGTGCACTCAGCCCACGTTCCATACCAATTTCACGTATTAAAATGTTTGTAACCTGATAATTACTCGATTTGAAATTTGTATTAACTCATTAACGTTTTTTTGTAAGAAAAAGGGTCAAAAATGGCTATTATAAAATTCTAAAATAATTAAAACTTTGTTTAATAATTAAAAATATAGAGAGGGTTTGTGATTATTTTTAACATCAGATATTTCAAAACTACGTTCCTTATATAGGACTATTATTTTTATCATAACTCACTCAATTATTCGCAGAATAAAAGTAATTTTGAAATTTTTTTTGGTTACCTTTAGCTGGATATTATTCTTAAGTTATTAGCTATGTAATACTTCTTTTGTTCATCTCTTATGTCTTATAAGGGTTTAAACTTTGTTTTTTTAAATGGGATCACATATTTTGATTTTAATAAAATATTTGAAGTATTATTTTAAAAATAAATAGTACTAGATTTAAACTCTAAAGTTTTAAATTTTTGAGTTAATATACATGTATAATATTTGAAGAATTACAAATACAAGTAGCTAATTGCATTTTTATGACGTCGCTATTACAGATACGCACCGTTTATTGACAACTATGACTTTATCGACAGATATGTTTTCTGTATTGCCAGTTGGTGTATTTATAAATGTTAATTCACAACACTATTCCTTACTACCATACTATAAGCATATATTTTGATAGTCATAATTGACAATAAACGCTACGTATTTGTGAATAGCGACGTCGTAAAAAAGCAATTAGCTACCTATATTTGTAATCCCTCGTGTATTATACATGTATATTAACTCAAAAATTCGAAACTTTATAGTTTTATAAAGTAAACGAATGAAGTTATGCTAAAAATTTAAATACCATTTATTATTAAAATAAAAGTTCAAACATTTTATTAAATTCAAAATATGTGTTACCATTTGAAAAAATGAAGTTGACGCCTTCACATGACACAAGACATGAACTTTAAAAATATTACATAGCTAATAATTAGCTAAAGTTGACCAAAAAAAAAATTTTAATTTTTTTTTATTCTTTGAGTAATTGAATGAGTAATGATAAAAATATCATCTTACAGTCCGGGCTTAAAAATATTCACAACTTCTAAAATAATAATTCAAAAGCTGTAATTGATCAATCATTTACTTAATTAGATGACTTTTTTGTAAAAAAAGCTTATGAGTGCTGATTAAAATAAAATTAAAAGCATAATAAATGATGAATAAAATAATATTTTTTACTGTTCAATTTGCAAATTACATGATGTATTTTTATTAAATTCCGCGTATTTTAATTTATTTTGGCAAATGTAATACTCATAACTAATCAACAAAAAAATCTTAAATTCGTTTTAATATCTTTTCTTTTTATTTATCAGAAAATTTATTTACAATCTATACAACAAGTACATTAAGCAAATTTGATGACAGTTATTATATACATGGCAATAAAATTGACGTTTATGGAAAGTCACTCATAGGAAGTTAAAAAAAAAAAAAATAATAATAACATAATTTTTTTTTTTAATTTCTAAAGTAGTTAAGTGTTTCATGTAGAAGAATCAGAACAATTTAAGTTCATTTTCAATTTTTATGATTTGGGATCTTAAATCATTCAATATTTGTTAGATTTACATAATACTATGATAAAATATCATAATAAATATAATAACTACTAAATAAATTTATTTATTTTTAATAAAACATTTTATAGTTTACTATGACATATTTTGTAAAATATATAATGATTAAATTCATAACAGTGTTTATTTCATATCAGACACTAATATTTCATGCTGTCTGTAATTCGACAATAAGTAATGACTAATATACTCAATGAGTATTACTCATATATTAAAATATCATAAATCAGTTCAGTATTTAATATATGTGCGTACTTATTAAAATCTACGAAGCAAATATGGCTAAAAAAAATTTACTGTAACAGACATTATTTAGAATTATAACAAACACTAGCGAAAATCGACCATAACTCAAAAAAAAAGTGTAACGCTGAGACTTAATTTGTTTACTCATATTCGAACGGCAGTGCAAAGACAAATGTAAAAATAGGTTTAATTTCACTATAAAATTTACAAGTATACTTTATCAAGATTTTTAATAAAACGTGCACTAGCAGATATAAACTAGAAATCATATTTTAAATATAAAATAATATATATATTAAAGTGAACTAATTTTTCAAATGCATTTGTGATTTATTTCAGATATACTTGACTATACAATCGTTTGAAAGTAAATAAAAGTTCTTGTATAGTAAATTATTAGAATAATCAGTTAATTTATCTCTGAATTCCTAATAAAATTCAATTTGAAATAATTAGAAATTAATATGAGATTAATGGTACGAGAATCCAAAATTTATCAAATCTTTCTTAAAAAAAAAAATAAAATAAAATGACTTTAGGATTTAAACATTAATAGTTAGAAACAATAATTTTAAAATTATATTTCATTAATAAAAATCATTTTTATAACAATAACTTATATGATATACTAGCTTTTTGATGTCCGGATACTAAAATATTTGCATCCCCTACCATATTATTTTTTAGGCGGGGAAAGTTTTTAAAATAGTGGAAAAATAAAATTAAAAATAAAAATAAAAGTGGAAAAATACCACGCTAGGTTCCAGCCTTCTTAATTTGTCCAAAATTTAAACTAAAAAAGAACATTGTATTTATATAAGATCAGTGATTATTTTCTAAAGTTGACATGTCAAATTTAGCAACTCTTCAGGAGTAAAAAAACAAATATAATATTTCTATAGCATATATTACAATGAAACATTTTTGAAGTGCAAAAAACACTGCTGTTAAAATGACACTTCATTTTCCAAAAAGTCTATAAATAACAATATTTATCATATTTATAATCTAAAATTAGATTTTTATGAGGTTTCATCTTTTGAAGACAAGCTACACAAATATATTTCGCAAACTATGAAATTGAAACAAATTAGTTTTATTATTATTTTGACAATAATTAATAAGGTGTTATTTACTACAGTCAAATCATATAGTCTTAGAGAAAAAATTCAAATTAAAACAATTGTTTCTAGATAAAAGGAATGTGTTGCTTTTCCTATTAATTTAACTATACATTTAACTCTAAACGGAATTAAATTTCATTAAGTTCATCATTTATAAATGGGTAGTTTTGAAACAATTGTTTACATAAAGTTGTTTTCCGGACAATCTTTACTTGAAATTGATCAGCTCTCTTAAGTGTTTTTAACGTTGATTACAAAGTATTTATTAATTAAAAATATTTGAAAAAAAAAAAATTCAAAGTTAAAATGAATTTTTTAGGTCATTTTAACTTTAACAAATTGCAATTAAAAAAATATGTTGAAATGCCAGCACGGATAAAAGAGAAACCGCAAGAGCGAGTTTTCAGAGATCATATTGAATAAAGTAATGATTTATATTACTTAGTTCGATCATGTTTAAATGATGAATTTACTTTGTTATTTAAATACTGACATAAAAGTTGAGCTCCTTTTAGCTTTGATGCGAAGCTAAAAAGGTATTGGTTTTACTATGTGTTTTTTTTTTTGTGTCTGTTACCACTTTTTCTCAGCTTTCACCGAACCGATTTATTTCAACGATACGTCAAAATATCACAAATTGTGTCTAGTTGAAGACATTACCCTCAAAAATAGAAAACATTTCCCTCATTTCCCGTAAATGGGGGAAATCTCAAAAAAAGTTACAAATTTAAAAATCGCTAATTTTCGACATTTTTAAAATTTTTTTACTACTAACTTTTTTAAAAATTATCAAATTAATATAATTTTTTTTTATAGATGCATGATGTCCTTACCTATTATTTGATATATTTTTTTTTATAAATTTGACCCTTTACCTGCCCACAGGGGGAGATTTAAAATTTTTCACAGAAAATTAACTTTTGAAAGTGATCCAGAAAGTTTGAAATTTTTATATATATCTTAAATTAAAGCAAATGTAATATACTTTATTATGGAAAAAAAAATTTTGGACTTTATTTTGTCTTCACGGTGAAAATAGTTACCAAATGATATTTTCGTGTTAAAATTCTCGATTTTATATTTTTAACTTTATATTTCTATAACTTTTTGAAAAATGTATGGACTAATACAATTTTTTATGATATATACTATTTATATACTTTTTTCATTCGACATCCGGATTTACTGACACTTTTATATATATCTTAAATTAAATATTTAATATTTAATAAATTAATATAATATTCATATAAAATTTAATATTTTATTCATATAAAAAACCCCTCATTTTCTTTTTTAGACTTATTTTTGATAAACCTATTTAAGTATTTTCATAAAGATGGCGTTGTTTGATAAAACCAGTTTTTGGAGATATCCTAGTAAACCTTGTGACTGAGTATAAAAGGAAATCAAACACGATGGTGGGGTATCACATATTCTACGGATTCAGTTACATTGGTAATTACGTTAAATCTGTGGAAATTATTCCATAAATTTATCAGTTAGTTCCAATTTTTTGACCAAAAATCGATTTAATTTTTAAATAATTTTTCAAAATAAAAATATGGCGAAATCGTTGTTGGTCTATAATGTGTTATTTTGTGTCTTAATTAACTTTGCTATTGCTGCTCCTCCTTCAACAAAAAGTAAGTTTACTTTATTCAATATTTAAGTATACGATTTTGAAAACAATTTACCGTTGCTTTATATTAAAAATAATAAAAATTAAAAAATATAAAGGTACAATTGTTTTAGAGATAAAAACTGATTAATTATTATGTTTAGTTGGACAATCTTAAGAAATAATATTTTTTTTATAAATGCCACAATGTATATATATATATTGTAGCATAATTCAATACACTTTATATTTTACATTTATGAAAATTTTACTAATATTTTTAAAGAGATAATAAATAAAAAAAATATTATTTATAAAAGTCATATTATAGATAATTTGAAAAAATTTCTTTCTTAAAAAGTTTAAAATCGTAAGTTAACATTATTTACTGAAACATCTAATTAATCAGACTAAATTTTTTGTTAGCATTGTTTAAGAAATCTAATTTTTTGAATTTTAACTCTGACACCAGACTTCAATTTTTTTTGTGTAGCTTATAATATATCTTACGTTGCTGAAATTACAAAAAAAATTTTTCCATAAAAATTTATAGATATAATTTGAATTATTTTTATAAACAATCAAATTAATTTTTAACAATCAAATTTACTAATGTGTCACGTTAATGTCATAATATTAGATTAAGGCATTTATATTAATCTATAATAATATAACTATTTTGAATAATTTAAATTTCCTCTCAAGTTTTCAATTGTCGTTATTTAGTACTTGCAAATAATAACAATACTACTTTATAATTTTGATACCCAATAAAAAGTTGTATTGTTCAACAAGTTTGATTTGAAACATAATACATTTTATTAAAATACTTTTGATATTTATTTCTGAATAATAATTAAAATAAACCTAATCTAAATCTAGAGTGTATTCTATAAAAATAGTAAAAACTATTTTTCTTTATCTAGCATGATAATCACGTCGCTGATTCAAAATTAAATAGAACTCACACGAATAAAATTAATAAATAAATGAAACATAAAAATAAACCGCAATGAAAAATCATACAAAATATTTCGTTAAAAAAAATAAAATTTAAGAAAAATTTACTAGTTATTTAAAATTACTTAGTTACCAGTACATAATTATACATAATATTTTTATACAATCATACTCTAGGTAAGGATAATATTATTTTATTAATAATAAATAGTTATTAAAAATTATAGAGTAAAAAATTAATTCTTACGATATTAATTGTTATTTTACCTAAATATTTCTTGCTATAGAAATAATTTTGTCACTTAAAAGTTAAATTAATAAAATTTTTCATGCTATTAATTTTGAAACCAATAAATAATTATTCATTTTATAGAACTTGTATTTAATTTGTGCAAAAAAAGTGATCCAAACTTCGATCAATGCTTCAAAAATTCTTTGCAATCTGTCATTCCGGATTTGGATAAAGGTTATTCAAAACTTAGGATTCCACCACTTGAACCGTTTCAATTTCCTTCATTAGAAATTGCCGAAGGAAAAGGATCTAATAAGGCTGTCAGCATCGATTTAAAAATGAAAGATGTTAAAATTCATGGAATTTCTAGTATTTTTATTGACTCATTAAAAGTTGACTTAGATAATTACAAATTAACCGCAAAAGTTAGTTTTAAAAAACCTATTGAAATAATTAGTCAGTATACCATCAATGGTAAAATACTCGTTTTGCCAATCGTTGGTACTGGCCCTTGCAAAATTGTCCTTAGTAAGTATTTTACGTTGTTACTTTTTATTAAAATTTAAAAAATGCTATTGAATTATCTTAATGTTTTTTTTATGTTTATAGAAGAACCTAGATTAGAATTGAATGATTTAACTGCCACTCCCTATGAAAAACATGGTAAAACTTTTATTAAGTTTCCAAAAATCAATTTAAAAATAGTAGATATTAAATATTTAACTATAAACTTTGAAAATCTTTTTAATGGCGACAAGCAATTAGGTAAGCTTTTATTAAAACATTATACATATTTTGATTTATTTATGATAATTTTTTTATTTTTTCGATTCAGGCAACAATATGAACAAAGTTTTGAATGAAAATTGGCCTGTACTGTTAGAGGAACTTAAATCAGCTTTCGAAGAAGCCATTGGAGCTATTATTCAAGATGTCCTCAATAAAACGTTGCAAACAGTTCCTTACGCTGATATAGCTATTCAATAATATATTTTTCATACTTGTTTTAAATGGTAAGCTTCTAAAGCAAACTTTGTTATAGTTAAATTATTCTCGTTTTACCAGAAATATATTTTAAAATAACTTGTAAAGTGTGTCAGAAATGTGATCGACGGAAACAAGATATTCTATGCTATAGCTTAATAATTGCTAGAGTATTGTTTATTGTTTTAGTGTATTTATTTTTGTATTAATATTGAAAATATTGGTGACTCGTAGTTGATTGTTTATTTAATGTTAAGTAACTTAGCTACAATGTTCAAAATATTTACAAAAGAATAAATTCAAATATTGATTAAATTATAATTTAATTATTTGACATTCACCTATACTTTCATTTTCCAACTTAAGTAAAAGTGGAAATTTTTTTCTTAATTATAATATTCTCTTTGAAAAATATAACGATCGGTTAAAGAATAAAATTTAATAGATAATCAAATTATTATCTATTAATTTTTATTTTAGCATATATAACACTTAAGATAATAATAAGTTTTGACTATCTATAAAAAATATTATCTAAAAACTTGTGATTTTAATAAAATGTAGAATAATAACTTATTTTTTGTATAATCATTCCATTTTCATTGACATTAACACAAATGAAAAAAAAAGCTTTATATTTTTTCATTCATTATAAATGAATACAGATATATTGAAATTTTGGAATTTTTTTTAGTAGAAAATGCTAAAATATGACTATAAATTTATTCTGTGATAATACACACTTGATTTTATATTATTTTATATAATTACCATTTATTAAGTATTTATTATGCCTATCTTTGATGCCTAATGAAGTTTTTCAAATTGACTTTTCGAAACCATTCCGAAAAATTTAGTTCTTAGTTTTGGATATTACATTATGCCCAATATTGTTATAAACTTTATTTTCACCTCGTGGCTTTTAACTGGTTGCAAATAATAGGAATATTTTAGGGAAGAAACAGTATATTAATGCCGTGGAATTTCGAGATTATGATACCTTTTTGCAAAAAAAAAAAAAAAAAGAGGTGATCAGAGAGAACTACATTATAAGAGTTACAATGCTAATTTCTTGCTGTACAAATTGGTTTTAATTGAACTGTAACAACGTGGAAAGATATTTATATAATCTATATATCCTAAAAATTTCTTCAAAATAAATATTTTATTAAAATAAAGCATTTGAATCCTTACTTCTTGATTTACTTTTGTAAATTTAATATTCAGTTTAAACTAAAAGAATTTTGAAAAAATATTCTAATTATGGAAATATTTTTTTAAGAAATTAAAATATGTTGGTATTATTTGATACATTATTTTTATATGACCTACTTTAAGAAAAATAAATATTTTAAACTAAATAATTTTACAAAATAACTAAGGATTATATTACAAATTTGTAATAAAATTTAATTTAAAAACTAGAACTGTTTGTTTGGTTAATTTAAATATTAAGGATATTAGTACAATTTATCATCAAAGATACAATTTTCATTAACGTAAAAATAATTTTAATCCATATAAAATATAATTGTATTATGAATAATTTACAGACGAACTATATCCTACCATAATTACTTTATTCGTGTTTAATTATTACTACTAGAATTTAACACATTTCTTTGTAACTTAATGAGTAATATCAGTTTTATACAACTGTTAGGTTATATTGTTTAAAGAAACATCTCAATTATTTAAAAATTTTGTTAATACAAAAAGATATCAGACGTCAAAAGTTTTTTGAATTTGAGAACCTCATACATAAATAGTTAAATTATACTTACACATATACAATGTATATTATACATTATGCAAGTATAATTATATAGCAAGTATAATATAATTTTAAATTGATTTCATATACAAGGTAGCTATTTTAGATTTAGTTATTAGTGAGGTGGACATAATGTCCATGCACTCAGACCTATTGGTCCATTGTGCACGCCTCATACCAAATTGTCTTAATTCGGTTTACATATCAAAGTGTTATCACCAAAATGTTATTACATTATACCTATCATTTTATAAGAGTGGACCATGAAGTCACCCACTGTGGATGGCCAAAGAGTCCTGTCTTTCTGGCGAAATTAAGTATCTCTCCGAGTATTAGATTTTAATATATTCTTATTCAGGAAAAGGTTTACTCAAGTAGTTTTATCTTAGTGTGGACAAGGCTTCACATTTGCACATTATGTGAAATGAATCTTCCTCTTCTACTCTACACTTCCTGCACAATGGTAATTCCGATACCACCATTGCGTAAAGATGTTTCAGCAATGTCAGTAGAACAGCCAAAGTGCTTATTTGATGTCTAGTCATGCTATTAAGATCACCCAGCTGTAGATCGGTTGTCTTGATAAACATTTTAGATTGAGTTTCTCAGGTCTAAGTTTTAGACCCTCGATTTTTTCATCTACTGCTCCCAGTTGATCTTACGGCTACTGGTCTGTATTTGTTGACGTTGCTGTCTCTTTGCTAGTAGACAGATCATCAAGTGTCCCGTTGTTCGCATTGAGACTTTCAAGTTCGACGATTGTTATGCAAAGAGCCGCCAGTTCACGTTAGGTTGTCCGTAGGATCCCTATTCGTCCTAAATTCGTTAAATAAAAGTTCATCACAGCAGAGATCCATACTGTGATAAGACTGTATACTCTATGGTGCGCAAGGTGCCATAGAGAACCCCAATGGTCCTTTACTTTTCGGCTAACTACCCCGTGACAAGTTAGTAAGTCTTTCACTTGGTATGGCTAGGTTAGGGGACCTATTTACTGTTAGCAAGCAGGTATGCCCAGGCCTACCGGTCCCAACTAACCAGAGTCATGACCGCCTCCTAGCAGTGGTACGTGTTGCCACCTCCACTGAATTAAATAAGGTCCGTCATATACAAGGTAAAAAGTATTTCAATCTACAAACAATTAATTTACTAAAAAATATGAAAATCACTAAGAAGAAACCATTTATAAAAATGATAACATGTTTTTATTAATTGATATAAGTAAATTTTAGTTTAAAATGATGAAATATAAAACAAATTTTAAAATATATTACTTTTTAGTTAGTTTATTAACTTGAAGGCTAATCAATTGGGATTTTGTATTATTTCTTCAGACTAAAAAATAAGCCGGCAAAAATCAGTTGAAAGTAACAGAGCATAACTAATCTGTATAATTTGAAATAAATTAAAAGGACAAAATACTCAATCATTTTATTACTAAATTCATTAGTATTAAAATTAGTATAATTTTGTAGTTCAATTTAGTTGATATCAATTAAAATTTCGAATACTAGTGTTACAACATCTCAAATATTTACGTTAAATACTCAATTATCTGAACTTCGAAATTTTTTAAAAAAAAGTTAAGATATTCTACTGGATAATTAAGTCCAATTAGACACTGGTTCCTTTAATTTTAAAAATCAGTAATTTAAAAATTTATAAATATCAAAATCTCTTTTTAAGTAATTTTATCGAAAACTATTAAAAAATATATTTAATGATCAAAATTATGTTTACTATAAGCTCTCCTTAAAAAATGTCGAATTGCCTTTTTAAGTACAAAAATATACCTAATCCAACTAAACAAAATTATGTTTCTTATATTAATTTTACTATAATATAAAAGGAATAATTGATAAAATGAAGTTTATACTAATTCCTTTCTCTATTCTTTTTTATTTCTAATATAAGAGGAATACAATAGCAGTATCAAGTTTCAAAAATCAATTGTTTTAAATACTACATGTTCATGTGTAATATATAAAAGATGTTCTCTTTCATGTTTATGAAAACTATTACAATGGATAAATCTTTCAAAACTATTCCCACCAATCAATAAGAATAGTAACTAAAAAACAATAAAATTTAACGGGTGAGACAAAATAAAATAGATGATTCTATATTATTTAACTATAAATTAATTTTCGTAAGATACTTTGGCGGAAACTAAAATCAAAACACTTATTAAGCTTATAATTTTATTATTTTTTAAAATATTATACAAAAATAAAAGTAAAATATTTAAAGGTATGTTACCTTTAATTAGAATATAAAACATATAATATCTTTTTTAAATATGCACCATTGTTAAAAAATATATTATACTAATATTTAATAATGTTGAAAAATTATATTTTGTAGTTAAAATACCTCAAGGGAAAATTTTTATTTTATTAATATTATATTGTAAGCTAAATAATTAGTTTTCTTAGACTTTAGGAAGTAAAATTAGTTTATTTTCTTTTAAGTTCATAAAAGTCTGACAAATACATTCATATAAAATATTTATATAAAAACAAAGATTATTTTTAGATAGTATTAGCTTCGATGTGAAGCTGAGAAGGTATTAATTTTACTATGATGTGTTTTTTTGTGTCTGTTACCACTATTATGATAGTGATTTTAACTATTAGTTATAACTGTCAGATATCATCTATACTGGACTCAACTATGTTACGTCTCCACTGTGCTGGTTTTTATTTATTTTTCTATTTTGTAGTCAAATAGTCTTTTGGTCTACCCCTTATCTCATAAAGGGGTATTACTTATTTTTTTTTATTAACACCGTGATATTGATACCACGTTGTATTTTTATAATAAATAGTATATATTAGAAATGAAGGTTGAAGGAAGACGAGATAGAAGAAGACCAAAAAAGAGATGGAAAGGTGTTATTGAATGCGATATGAGGACATCTGATGTGAGCGTAGAGGATGTGGGAGATCGTGTCAAGTGGAAGTTTAGGATAAGGGTGACCGACCCCAAGTAGTTGGGATTAAGGCGAGGAAAAAGAAGAAGAAGAGTATTTATTATAGACATTTATTTGATTCGTTGTTATTTCTGAATCGTCAAACGGACACAATTCATGATGTCATAGAAGTTTTCCGAACATTTTTTTACAGGTTGTGCTCAAGATGCTCAACGAGGACAAAGGAATTTTATTTTTTAACTTTCTCTGTCCCCCCTTTTCCACTAAAAAACAAAAATGATTAAGTAAATAATTTTTTACGAAGGTAATACATTTAAATAAAGTGTGAAAGTAAAAATATTGTTATCAAATTTTATTTTCTATAAATATTTATTTGTACAGATATAATAAAAATATTTTTTATATTTAACTATAAATTAAAGTCATCAAAGACAGTGGAGATCCAGAATTTTAGATCTCACTGTTCACTTCGATGATACTTCGATAATTGTCGATCTTGAGTACACCAAAATAAATAATATTAAAAGTAAAGTCATATTTTAGGATAACTATTTATTTTACTGAAAAATAATATGAGAGGGTGTTAACAGTTAAAAAAAAATCAAAAAA